GGAGGGCGGGGGGACCCTCCCTGAGCCCTCACCGGCAGTGAGGTGAGATCCTGAAACCAAACCAGTTCCCCCTCCGTCGCCAGCGAAACGTGGGACTTCCACTAACGATTCCTTTTTGGGAGGCGCTCGTTCCTTAGGGCAGGACGTGGAGAACTGGATTCAGGAAGTTGCAGGGTGTCTTCAGTTTTCAACTTCGCGTTTTCACTTTTCTTATCAGAAAGGTGTGTGACTAATCCCATGAGCCAGGCACCTTGTCACTGTGGAACCACCTCGATGTGCAGGGTCCCCGAAACTTTGCTCGTCTCTCATATGTGTGTCAAGGTAGCGCCCTGAGGCGAAACGAAATTCAGAATGAGAAGAGCTGGAATAGAAACCAGAAGAGTCGGGCAGAGCAGCCGGTCACATGGTTCCCGAGGCTGATGCTGTCCCTCTGGGCAGGGTCTCTGCACAGGGCCAGGCGTGCTGCATGCAGAATCCAGTCTCAGCGGTCTCACTGGGGGACAGCACTGTCCCCGAAACGACCCAGCTTCTGAGCCACGCAGACCTGGCTCCACCAGCGGGCTGCTGCCTGACACACGAATTCACTTCTCATCTCTCAACCTCAGTTTCCACATCTGTAAAATGGAGCAACAATAATACCCACCCACCAGGTTACGGAGGACTAAGTCTGCACACCCACAAATTGGCACTATTAATTCTAATAATAACTATGATTTATTGAGCACCTATTTATTCTATCAATCAAATGATATTGTCCAACACTGAGGAATTCCACCCCATCACGCTCCAGGTATTATGCTGAAAACTGCCCCATTTCCTTATGTGATCATTACAGAGATCCAGTGAGGTAGGTCTTATTAGTCCTATTTTAAAGATGAGCTTATGAGGGCCAAGTAGCCCGCCCAGAGTGGAACTTGGTTTGTGGGCCTGCTGCTGAAACAACTTAGGGTCCGTCTTCAGGATAAAGAGAGCAGAATTCAGCACACAGCACAGTAACAGACCAGTGTAAGAGCGGAACGCAGGGGCTTAAGCTGCCTCATCCCGTGGTGCATCTATACCTGAGCCAGGACCCCCCAGACGGGGTGACCCAGCGCCTGGGCCTCAACCTCCTCCACGTGCAAGAGAAGAACGCTCACGGTGCTGAGCGCCAGCAGAGGACGAAGGGCTGTCTTCCTGGGGCAACCAGCAAATATGTCACCCTGGGGCCTCGCAGGAGGAGTAAGGGAGGGGAGAGAATAGAGAAGGACACCATGCAGGTGTGGAGGTGTCGAGGGAATAGCACGGCAGGGGCGTGGGGTTGAGGGCAAGGTATGCGGGAGGGAGGCAGGGAGAAGGAGGCCAGAAAAGTGAATGAGTGGCGGCTGGGAGTGTGAGCCACAGAGTGCGGCAGCCACTGATGGTCAAGCAGAAGGTGGGAGTTGAGCACTGGCTCCATGACAGCCAGGTTCTAGAACATTCTCTCTGCCTCTCGTGTGGATGATGGAGCAAAGCAGGCAGACTGGAGACCAGCTGGGAGACTATCACAACTTAATTTTGATTTAAATTTATATGGCCACATGGGGCTAGTGGCCGCCATACTGGACAGTACAGCACTGAGTCATGATAGGGTTTAGGGTGGGGAACTGTGACATGATCAGATTTGTGCGGCTAGATGATGGCTCTGTCTGCTGGGAAGAGAGCAGATTAGAAGGCAGGCCAAAAGTGTGCAGGGAAAATAGTTACCCCACTGTGGCAATAATCTAGGCAAGAGATGATGGTGGCCCAGAGGGAGCAAGTTGGCAATGGTGGCACTCAGTGTTCTAGTCTCTGCAGCTGTCCTTACCCAAGAAATAGAAGCCAAGAGGGGGAGCCAGCTTTGGGGGTGAGGGCAGAGGTTGAAATAAGGAATTTGGGTTAAGGCACTGAGTTTGAGGTGCCTCTGGGCCATCTTGGCAGAGAAGTCAAGAGGGTGTTCCTTAGACAGTTCCAGAATCTATTGCATCAGTGCCAAAGATGTGGATTTAGATGTCGTCAGCCAGTGGTGGTGGCTTCATCATGGGAGTAGACGTGGTCACGTGAGAACACCCGGACCTGACCTGAGGAAACACAACCCTAAGAGATGGCGGACAAAGTAACAAATTCCCATCTGGAAATGCCGACCACACAACCGAGAATGCCTCAGCACCATGAAGATCGCTTCTCCTGAACCCGGGGTGCTGTCCTAGACACCCTGTAGCAGTCTGGGGGCCCCCACACCCGCTCTCACCCCTCCAGGGCCAGCTGGGCCCCTGCATTTCTTCACCTGACAGCTTTCTCCAGCCACCTGCGTCTGCTTTGCTGCCTGGGCCAGAAGTGCCAGGGAACTCATGCCCCCTGGGAATAGCTCTTGTATCTGTGAGCACCCCTCTTACCCTTAGAATAACCCCGAGAAATGGGTGCCATCAGAATCATCCCTCATTTACAAATGAGGAAGCTGGAGCACAGAGAGATGGAGCCCTTGCCCAAAGTCACACAGCTGGTAGGTGGCAGAGCCAGGGTTCCAGCCAGGCCACATGTCACTGAGTGGCATGTTGCCCCCATGTTCCTGCTCCTTATGTCACCCCTCGATTGTGACACCAGCAACATGCTCAGGATAGCCAGGCTGCATTATTGAGCTATGTCTCTGCTGGACCCTGCCCAGGCTTTCTGCCGGCATTCCATCCCCACCGCCCTACTCCGAGGGGCCCCTCATCCCCACCTCCCGCTGCAGGCCCAGGGCTGAGGCTGCCACTTTGCTGGAGGAAGCTTCTCTCTTCTCACTCTAGACTCAGTGTTTAAAAATAAAGAAAAATAAAGCTGGGTTCAAAATTAGCACAAGACTCGCTACAAAGAACACAAGACACGGTTTCCTGTGTGTTTTTTTCTTCAGTTTTTTTAAGACTTCCAGAAAAGTTTCCTCTGCAAAACTGAGACCAAAAGGGTAAAAAATGCAAATGTGATGGTCCAACCTTGAACCATCATCTGTACCCAGCCCAGGGCAGCCACAGAGAGACTCAGGAGAGAGAGATCCAAGACCTAAAGTCTCAGAAGCTCCAAACTGGAGCCTGCTGGAGTTGTGTGGGGTCAGCAAGGCTGTGGGCTCCTTTGGGCAGGGGTGACTCCTTTGACCCTGTGTCCCGAGCCTGGCACCATGCTTGGCTCAATGCGTGGATGGGTGGAGGGATGATGGGTGGGTAGACGGAAGATAGATGAGTGGGTGGATGGATGAGTGGAAGGATGATGAGTGAATGGGTGATGGATAGGTGGGTGAATGAACAAGTGGATGAACAAACTGTGGTTCTGGAAACTCCATCACTTGATGGCTAGCAGCACTAATTTGAAAGGAAATGTAGCCAAATGCTTATCATTTCAGATTCAGAACTCACACAGACCCAAACCTAGAGGTGAGCTTCACTCTGCCCTCAGCTGGAGGGTGACCTTTGGAAAGAGCTCGACCTGCCGAGCCCCCATGACCTACACCCACAGAATGGAACTGCTAATCCCGGTAGTTCCTACCCCATGAAGCCGAGAGAACGCGTGCAACCTGAGGGCACAGGGGCCCTGTGCGAGACTCGAGACACGTAGAGGTTGTAATTAGTGAAGAGAGTTCAGGTGAGGAAGGGTTCCAAATGGCTGTCCTGGGGAAGAGGAGGCAGCGTCTGTGGGACTCAGGAGGACAGGCCCAGACAAGCTTGTGGGACAGCAGGGCGACAGGAGTCCGCTCGACAGAAAAGACAGACTCTTCAACATCCACGTCCCCTGCGACAGGACAAGCAGCTCTCTGCATCAAACCGCGAGCTCCACATCGCTTCAAGCATCCAAGCACGTGAATGCAACTGTGGATTACAGATGACCACAGATTCTCCGACACCCATCCAGTAAGGGCTGGGGTCTAGGTCCTCTCCTTCAATCCCGTGGGCGCTGCGCCTGCTTCGACTAGTAGCATAAGAAGTGATGACGCTGTGTCCACTTCCCGGCCCGAGCTTCAGAGTCTGGAGCTTCCTCTTGCTGTCCCTCGGAACACTTGTTAAGGTGTTCTAGAGCCGCCCCGCAAGAAGTCCATGTGCCTTCCTGGAGACCCCGCATGGAGAGGCCCTGAGGCTGCAAGGAGACAGAGAGGGCCCAGCAGAGCCAGCTTTCCTGTGTCCCCGTCCATGACGCAGGCGACAGCGTGAAGCCACCTGGGGGCCTCAGCAGCCTCCCATCGGCCAGCTGAGCCCACTGAGGGCCCCTAGGTGATGCCACGTGGAACAGAAGACCCGGCCAGCCGGGCCCTGCCCGGCCCCTGACCCCCAGAGTGACGGAGCAGGGTAAAGTAGTGGCGCTTTCACTCCACTGAGCTGGCGTGGGGAGGGGTGTTTACAGCAGGAGAGAGCCGGCACGCCGACTGCCGGACACACCCGGGAAGCGAGTTCTTCCAGGGAGAGGAGAAGGCCAACCATGCGGTCCATGAGGCACTGCGAATCTGTGTTGAGGATCAAGCCCTTCAAATTTTGCTCTCACTTTGATAAAACCCAGACTGAGGAGGCTGGGACACAGGCTGAAGACTGGAAATCCCAAACGTGTTGACTCAAAAATGTCGTTTCATCCCATTTGAAATGTACTCGCAAATGCTCCCCAAGGGAAAGAAGAGGGGAGAGAAAGACGATGTGGACTCTGACGGTGAGACTTGTCCTTCCGGGGTGTCCAAGACCGCCGAGGGCCAAGGCTTCCTCCTCCACTCACTTCATCCAAGAGAGATTTACCGAGCCAAGCGCCAGCTGGATGCCAGGTGCTCTGAGACACAGGCTCTGGGGATGCAGCCGCGAACACAGACAGAGTCCCGTTCTCCTTGAACTTAGTGTCCTGTGGAGGAGACATGCTAGTGAAAAAGAAAAACTCGCACATGACTGTGTAGGTGCTAACTGAGGTGGTGTGCTCTGTGAGTGTGTGGGGGGGAACAGTCCCTAACCTGGAGGGGGGTCAGGAAGGGTCTTCAAGAAGTGGTCCTTAAGAGGGAGTCTGAAGGAAGCAGGAGTTAATTAGTTCAGGAGGAGAGGAAGCAGATTCCAGGCAGAGGAAATGGCCTGTGTAAAGGCCCTGGGGTAGATGAAAGGTGGTGGGACGTGCTGGAGAAAGTCCAGTGTAACTGGAGCTTGGTCGTCAAGGGGGAGCATGGAGGGAATAGGGCTCGGTGGTTGGCAGGGCCAGAGCACTCAGAGCTTTACAGACCACACAGAGAGTTTGGGTCCTTCCCTGGGAGCAACAGGAAGCCACAGAAGGGATTTAAGTAATGGAGCGACAAGCTCCTTGGCTTCTGAAAAGATCGCTCAGATCAACTTTCTAATGAATAGCTGCTAAATGAAGGGCATCTTGTCTACATCAAACCCCTGGAAGGCCAGTGCTGAAGGGCCGTAGAGACTGTCTTGGCCGCTGCCAGTTCCCAAGGTGGGGAGGCCAGGGCCGAAGCCCTTCCACCACTTCCTGTCTCTGTTACCGTGGGAAAGCCCCTTGGCACATCTGGGCCTCAGTTTTCTTCCAGAGCACAGGATAGAAAGGGGGTGGGGGGAGAGAAACCGTGCAGTGGAGAAGCCTGAAAACCCCACCTCAGCCAGCTGATCAAGGTCAACGCCAACAGAGAGAGGTCCTGGTGAGAGCACGCACCCTTGACGTGACATGACGACAAGGGTACCTCACCTCTCTGGTCTTCCTCCGCAGACCCATGACCCTAGTCTCGCCATGACAGAAACAGCAGACAAACCAAAACCCAGGGCCAGGCTACACAACACCCAACCTGTGCTCCTCAGACTTCAGTGTCATCAGAAACAAGGAAAGTCTGAGACTCTGGCACAGCTAGGAGGTGCCTCAGGAGACACAGTGACTAATGTGGGATCCTGGGTGGGATCCTGGGGCAGAAAAAGGACCCAGGTGAAAACAGAGGAAATCTAAGTTTGGACCTGAGTTGATGATAACGTATCAACATTGGTTCATTGATTGTAACAAATGTACCCCACTAATGGAAGATGTTAACAATAGGGGAAACGGTACGGGGTACATGGGAGCTCCCTGTACCGTCTTCCCAATTTTTCTGCAAATCTAAAACAGCTCTAAAAAGTAAAGTCTTTTTAAAAAAAATTTGGATGTCCGGGCCCCATCCCGAGAGAGCGACTCTGGCCTGGATGGGGCACAGGTCTGGATGAGTTTTGAAGCCCCCTGCCATGCAGCCGGGGCTAAGCAGCCCCGCTTTGTCAGGTGGACGTCGGTGGTCCAGCCTCAGGAGAAGGCACAGCCACCCCGGGCTGGGTCCCTGACAGGGCTGAGCTAAGCGGCGCTGCGCCCGCGAAGACTCTGAGTAACCGTTAGTCACGGCGCTGTGGTCGGGATCCCTGCCCCCAGGGGAAGTCGGAGCTCTATGCTCTGAGGTCCCTGTCAACTGCACGCTTCTATGGCTCTAGAAGGAAAAGGCCACCGGGTTCAGGAGACCTGGATTCTAGAGCAAGAGACGTGTCCTTGGCTTAGTGATGTCCCAGCTCATTTCCGACTCTGCGGAGGGAGAGGGCTGGGCTGGCTTGCTGCCAGCTCTGCTCCCCAAACAGAGCAGCATGACAGGCTAGCACCTCTCCCGGGAGGGGGCACGCTGCCAAATTTTGACCCATGTTAAGTTTGATACATATATAGCATATGCTATAACAGCAGTACATTCTGCAGTGAGCATCAGAGGAGATAAAGGTTAGCACAGGAGCCCTACATTCTGATGGCTGTGCCATGGATGAGCAAGCTGTGTGACCTTGAGCAAGCTGCCTGACCTCTCAGTACCTGGGTTTCCTCATCTGTAAAAGGGGAATGACAATAAAAATGACCCCACAGCATAGTTGTACAACTAGAGAAGATGATACAGGAAATCCTCCAAAGATGATAACTGTTGTCCACAAGCCGTGGACCCAGGCTTCGCACATGGGTATTTAGCAAACATCCATGAGATTGTTAAATAATTAACCAAATATCTGTAAGATAAGACAATGAGTGTTCTGTAGGGGAACATGGTGTGATTAGCTATAAGACATAGAAAGGAAGGAAAGAAGGCGTATTTCCTGGATTTGGGGAGAGTTTTGCCTTGTCGAGTGTGGTAGGCAGAATAGCAATGCCCTTTCACTACCCTAAGGCACCTATATCCTAACCCCAGAACCTGTGGATGTGTTAGGTTGTGTGGCAAAGGGCAATCAAGGTTGCAGGTGAAATTAAGGTTGATAATCAGCTGACTTTAAAACTGGGAGATTATTTGGGACTACCCAGGTGGGCCCAATGTCATCATGAGAGTCCTTAAAAGTGGAATTGGGAGGCAGGAGAGTGGAGTGACGGGACATGAGAAGGACTCAACTGGCCATTGCTGGTTTTGAAGATGGAGGAGGGGCCACGAGCCAAGGACTGGGGTGCCTCCAGAAGCTGGAAAAGGCAGGAAACATTCTCCCCTGGAGCCTCCAGAAGGAACCAGCCCTGCTGACACCTCGACTTTAGCCCTGTGGGACCTGATATTGGACTCTGCCTCCAGAACTACAGGAGAATCAGCTCGTGCTGTGTTAAGCCACTCGGTTTGTAGTCATTTGTTTCTGCAGCTGTGGGAAACTCATCCAGGCGTGCGAGGAGTACGGTCAGCGTCCGGAGCCTTCCGCTCAACCGTGATGGGGACGAAAGATGAGCAAAGGGGCTGGAGATGTTTTTTGGACAAACAGAAGGACTGTTGCCACTCGATGCTCTTTTGACCAACGTATTCGCTGTTGTTTTGAGGCTTTTCGTCCTTCAGGTTATTGGCCACAAATTCCAGCGTTCAAAAGCAGAGAGAGAGAAAAACCAAGAGAGAAACACCAAAACCCCTGATCTGAGTTTCTTTCTGACCCCTACAGTCTCAGACGCGAGCTGGGCCGTCGGCCAAAGACATCCTGGAGGTGAAGAATGGCTGACTTTCACTCATCCAATCAACACGGCTGGGACACCCGCTCGCTGTGTTGAAGAGGATATCCGTCACTGATGTGGGCCACCCAGGCTTTAGAGCCCTCTGGCTGCTTAGGGAATTTCTTACCATGGAGAGGAAAGTAGAAAATGCTAGATAATCGCTTTCCAGCCTCCTTGCAGCTAAGGCACAGCCATGTGACCCGGGCTCACGAATCAGATGCCCCCACAGCCCCGTGATTCAGAAACAGGACACAAGAAGCCAGGGGAAGGGACCGGCTGCCTGGCCTCAGGCCCCCTTCTTCCGCCCACCTGGTGCCCTTCCAGCAAGCTCCTGTTGACTTAACTCAACCACAGGTGGTGCCTGCCATTTACGACTAACACTTCTGCCTGATTCCCATGTGCGAGGGCCACACTGTGTCTCCCACGGGGACACACAAAGTGGCCCTGCCCTCCTCGAGGATGGGGCCAGGCCTGTTCAGGACTGCATCCTCAAAGAAGCAGGACTGAATCCTCAAAGAAGCATTCAGGCCACCACGGGCCCACCTGCTCTGGCCATCCTCTCCCAAGGAGCATTGGGGAAGGCATGACATTGTTATCACTAATTGTAATTAATCAGCATTAAAACTACACAGACCGTGGAGGGAGAATTCAGAAAAGATACCTGAGACCCATCCACAAAGGTGCAACTCCCCAGGGTGCGAGGATGTGTGTCGATGGTAGAGATGGCACCATTAGGAAAGTGGAATCACACACCCTTATGTTTTCTGGCACAGTGACACGTCTGAAAGTGCCCTACTTTGCATGTGACACTTCACTTCCACTCCGGCCACCCTGTGCAGTGGGCGACCCAGGAGAGCCCCACGTTGCAGCGGAGCAAGAGGAAGCCCGGGGCGGTGATTTCTGTAAATGCAGGGCTGGGCCAGGAAGGTGAGGCTACAGAGCCCTTGTGTTCTTCCAGCTGGAAAGGGAGGGGGGTTGGCAGGTGATGAGGAAGAGGAAGCAGATATGTCCCTTAGAACGCTTTGGGCAGCAAGAAGCAGAAAACTCGGGATTCAAGGGAATATCTGCCCTGGAAAATAAGGAATCCTAGAGCGAGGCAGCCAGGGGCTGGCACTTCTCTGCCACCCTCCCTCTAGGCGTCAGTGTTACCCGAAGGCTGGCGGCAAGATGGTGGCGGCACTTCCATTGCCTCCCCAACACAGCCACATGCCGAGGAAGGAGGAACCTGCCCCCTCCTAGGGCTGAGGAGACCCTCCCCAGAAGCCCCCAGCAGGTCTTTTCCTCCTAGCCCATCAGCCATTATTTGGTCACATGCCCCTCCCTGACCCCATCACTGTCAAGGGCAATGGGTGAGCATCATTGTCATAGAGAGCGATCAGGAATGATGGTTGGGTCTGAGGATGGGGACCCCTCGCCCTGAATCACATAGGGAAGAAGCAGATGCCTGAATGAAATCAGGGCTCTGTGTGGGAGGAAGAGGGAGACATGGATGTCATCGGTCAAACAGCAGTGTACCCGTCCCTGGCCAACTTTGAGGCAAATTCTGGTCTATCACCCAGACCTGAGGTAATTTGCTTACCTGTACATCGCCAAGTCTCAGTTTCTTCATCTGAATAATGGGAATAATGCTCTTATAGGTAGTTGGGAGGGGCAGATGAGATGATAGGTTCTCCACAAATGTGCATTCCCTTCTCAATGAGGAAGACACCCTGTTGTCAACACGATACACCTTTATTCCCCCACACGCTGAATCCCCTGCAGAGCCTTGGTGATCATTGCACACTTAGTGAGCCAGAGCCTCGCTATCTGTTTCCTCCAGACTCAGAAAGCTTGCTCCAGCCTGGCCCTCTGGCCCAGAGAGTTGGGGCTCCAGTGAAATGCATCATGGTCCCCATTCAGCAAGTGTTACAGCCCCCAGAAGACTCTTAAGGTACTTAGCTCTCACCTGATAAACGGTTCAAGTGAGAACACAGGATCCACATTAAAGGAAGAGCATGAGGGGAATCTGGAACATTCTAATTGCTCTGGAATTCATTGCTCACCCACTCACACACAAGGGACTCAACAAGCGTCCCTTGAGTGCCTACTATCTGCCAGGGAGGAAACTGGACCCCTAGTTGGCAACTGTTGGGTTGAGTCTGTGATAAGCCCGGGCTTTTTTTTTTTAACATTTTTGACATTTTTGAAGCACTCCCATCTGAAATGAAACAGAAATTGTGAGCCCCATTTAGAAAATAATTCCCTTCCTCCCACACAACCTAAGACAATGTGTCTGGTGATGTTGTTCAGATTTTCCAACTGTAGGTAACCTTTAGGTCGAGCCCAAGAACTCAATGGAAGCTCAGGAAAGTTTCTTGAGAAAGCGCTGCACTAACAGTGGTTTTGAGTGGAAATATCTTCTTGACTCTGACAGCATCATGGTTGACTTTCACACCAGAGAAAGGAAGCACCGACTCTAACCTCAAAACAAGGAAGACTAGAATAGTCACCAAAAAAAAAAAGCAAAAAGCAATCCTCTAAAGCAGAGACCCCCAGTCTCAGCCTGGCCTGGGAACATGTCGGGGATTTTCCAAGGAGAGAGAGATACTTCAAGGGGTTCCCCAGGAAGGCTGAGAGTTGGGCTTATGGAGAACTTGAGCTGGGTGGGAATGGGAGAGAAGGGAAATGCCAGTGAAGACGAGGCTGGCAGAAGCGAGTCAGGAGGAAGTGGCTTTGTGACTCGTCCGACCTCAGAGCGGGCCAAGAAGCAGAAACTTAACCACGCAGGGTACAGAGCTATTTTCATCCCTGGGGCCTTCACCCCATGTCCCCAAAGTTCTCTGGGCAGTGGAGCTCCTGTACAACACCGTCAGGACCCCAGACTCGCTGAGAAGGACCAAAGAGAGCCCAGGCCTGAGAAGGAGAGGCAGAAGACAGCATGCGATGGTGCAAGCCCACGATGGAAACTTGGCCACGTGACACCCACTCTCTGGGCCTCGGTTTCCCCATCTGCTCACTGAGGTTCTGTATCAGTGTCCTCTTGCTGATGTAACAAATGATCACAAATTTAGTGGCTTACAACAACACGCTTTTATTCTCTTACGTCTGGACGTCAGAAGTCTGACGTGGATCTGTCTTTTCCAGCTTCTTGAGACCATTGCATCCCTTGGCTGGTGGCTCCTCCATCTTCAAATCCAGCGGGGTAGCATCTTCCGGTCTCTCTCTGACTCTGACTCTCCTGCCTCCACTTACAAGGACACTTGTGACGACATTGGGCCCACGGGATAATCCAAGATCATCTCGCATCTCAAGATCCTAAACTTAATCCCACCTGCAAAGTCCCTTTTGTCATGTAAGATCACGTATTCACAGGTTCCTTCTGGGTACTAGGATATGGACATCTTAGGGGCATTATCCTGTCTACCACAAGTTCCTTCCCTCTTGAACTTTCTAAGACTCTGGATAAGAGAGATGAGTCCTCTACGAAACTCGCTGTCAGTTACAACGGTGACTAATGTTCATCAGGGTCTCCCTCCCCTCCACCTCCTGTTACTGAAGTGTCCCATCTAATCTACCAGCATCCCCACAAGTTAGGTCCCATCCTCATTTCCTGTCCACAGAGGAGGGAAGGAAGGCTTGAGGTGGGGGGTGGTAATTGACCTGTCCACGTTCACACAGAAGGAAACAGCAAAGCTGGAAAATGGACCCCACATCTTGCCAGAGCCTGGACCCTTGACCACATTGACATACTGCCACCCTGGTGTCAGAGGCGGGAATCACACTTACCTCATCAACCCAGATGGATCAAAGGTTTAAAAAGTAAACTTCTCAGCGACAGGAACTCTCACTCATTGCTGGAGGGAATGCAAAGTGGTATGGCCACTTTGGAAGCCAGCCGCGCAGTTTCCTCACAGAGCTAAACCCAGCTTACCGTACCATCCAGCAACTGTGCTCCATTCACCCAAAGTTGTTGAGAACGAAAGTCCACACAAATGCCCACACACAGATGCTGTGGCAGCTTTATTCATCATGGCCAGGCAAGACGAGCCAGAGCAGCCCAAGTGGCACAGAGGTTACTGAGATGCCATCAGTGAGCATCACGATGCCAATGAGCTGCTGAATTAGGACAGAGTCCAGGCAGAAGAGGCCACACCTGTCACCGTGGTGACCCAGCTGCCTCTCACCACCCTCCTGGCTCAGCATCCTCCACCCTTGCTCATCCTCACGTCCCACATGTGCAGACTTGGACCTCAGTCCTTTGGCCTTGGCTGCACCTTCTCCACCCCCCCCCCACCACTATCCCGACCCTCTGTGTTCATCACATCCTGGGGCGAAGCGCTCCTGCCCTCCATCAGTCTCCTGTGGCCCCGAGGGTGGGTAAGGAGACCTTCTGGCGATGGGTATCTCTCCATCACAGCACTAGCCCACTCCATGGTCATGGTTTCCTTTTCCTGGATGCAAACTGGGAGGGCAAACAGTGACGAGCCCCCACTGGCCCTGTGTGCATCCTAGT